GATGTCGCTGATGGTGCCTTCGGTGCGACTGACTAGGTTTGTCACCTCCTCAAAAGGACGCATGAGCCTACAGGCATTGCGCATGAGCGTCCAGTAACGTGGCAAAAAAATTCCCAGCTCCCCAGAGGCTGTCCTAGCACCCCGGTCATACAAATATTCATTAACGGCTTTTTCTTGTTGGAGCAGGCGGTCGAACATTAGGAGTGTTGAATTCCAACGTGTCGGGCTGTCGCAAATCAAGCGCCTCACTGGCATGTTGTTTCGCCGCTGGATATCGGCAAAGTGAGCCATGGCCGTGTAGGAACGCCTGAAATGGCCACACACCTTCCTGGCCTGCTTCAGGACGTCCTGTAAGCCTGTGTACTTATGCACAAAGCGTTGTACGATCAGATTACACACATGTGCCATGCACGGCACATGTGTCAACTTGCCCAACTTCAATGCTGCCAACAAATTTGTTCCGTTGTCACAAACCACTTTGCCGATCTCCAGTTGCTGCGCAGTCAGCCACTTTTCCACCTGTGCGTTCAGGGCGGACAGGAGTGCTTGTCCGGTGTGACTCTCTGCTTTCAAGCAAGTCAAACCCAAGACGGCGTGACACTGCCGTATCCGGGATGTGGAATAGTACCTGGGGAGCTGGGGGGGTGCCGTTGATGTGGAGCAAGACGCAGCAGCAGAAGAGGACTCAGCCGAGGAGGTTATGGAAGAGGATGGAGTAGGAGGAGTAGAGGAGGTGGCAGCAGGACTGCCTGCAAGTCGTGGCGGTGTCACCAACTCCTCTGCAGAGCCACGCATTCCATGCTTGGCAGCCGTCAGCAGGTTTACCCAATGCGCAGTGTAGGTGATATACCTGCCCTGACCATGCTTTGCAGACCAGGTATCAGTGGTCAGATGGACCCTTGCCCCAACACTGTGTGCCAGACATGCCATTACTTCCTTTTGCACAATCGAGTACAGGTTGGGGATTGCCTTTTGTGAAAATAAATTTCGTCCGGGTACCTTCCACTGCGGTGTTCCAATAGCTACAAATGTTTTGAACGCCTCAGACTCCACCAGCTTGTATGGTAAAAGCTGGGGGCTAATAGTACAGACAAGCCAGCTGTCAGACGCCGGGCAAGGGGGTGACTTTCTGACATTGGCTTCTTACTCTCAAACATGTCCTTGACAGACACCTGACTGTGGGCAGATGAGCAGGAACTGCTCAAGGCGAGAGACGGAGTGGCGGATGGTTGAGAGGGGGCAAGGAGGACAGCAGTGGTTGACGTGGCTGAAGATGCTGGACCAGGAGGAGGATGGCGGCTTTGAGTTTGTGTGCTGCTTGTACTCATGTGTTGATCCCATAGGCGTTTGTGATGTGTGATCATGTGCCTACGCAAAGCAGTTGTACCTAGGTGGGTGTTGGACTTCCCACAACTCAGTTTCTTTTGGCACAGGTTGCAAATGGCATCGCTGTTGTCAGAGGCAGACACACAAAAAAAATGCCACACTGCTGAGCTCTGCAATGACGGCATTCTGGTGGTGGACACAGCATGCGTTGATTGGCGTGCTGTCGGGCTGACCCCGGGTGTCGATGCATGCTATCTGACTGTGCCACTAGCTCCTTGCGACGACCTCCCCTGCTTCCAACTCGTCTCCTCCTCCTCCTCTGTCTCCCCATCTGAACTTTCGCCCTGTTCTTCTTCTTGACGAGCGGGCACCCACGTGACATCCATGGACGCATTGTCATCATCAACCGCTTCACTTGTATCTGACAACTCAGCAAAGGAAGCAGCAGCGGGTACAACATCATCATCATCACACACCGTACATGTGTAATGCTGCCTGATTGAGACATATCCCTGTTATCTACATCCTCTGTCAATAATGGTTGCGCATCACTCATTTCTTCAAACGGATGTGTAAATAACTCCTCTGACATACCAAGTGAAGCGGCTGTGGTGCTAGTGTTGGTGGTGGTGGCAGGCGGGTGAGTGGTATCTTGAGAGGTGCCCGAAGCTAAGCTGGAGGAGAATGTTGCGTCAAGGTTCCGAGCGGAAGCTGTAGAAGATTGGGTGTCCTGTGTTAGCCAGTCAACTATGTCCTCAGAACTTTTCAAGTTCAGGGTACCTGGCCTCTGAAAACTGGGCATTATTCTAGGGCAAAAGGGAATCACAGCACCACGACCACGACGGCCCCTGCGGGGTGGCCTGCCTCTGCCTGTCATTTTTTTTTGATTAGTGGTACTATGCGTGCAAGCTACTGTGACACCAGATATGAGTGGCACTGTGAACTGGCAGAGGTTGGCAGAGTACACGCTGTAGGCCTGACACACCCGCTTGAAGACAACTAACTGCTATTCAATCTATAACAGTGAAAAAAGTTTTTTGGTTTTTAAATGCACGCTATTGTGACACCAGATATGAGTGGCAATGTGCACTGGCAAAGGTTGGCAGAGTACACGTTGTAGGCCTGAAACACACCCGCTTGAAGACAACTAACTGCTATTCAATCTATAACAGTGAAAAAAGTTTTTTGGTTTTTAAATGCACGCTATTGTGACACCAGTGAGTGAGTGGTGGCACTGGGCAAGTGGGCACAGTATACGCTGCGAGCCTGACACACAGACGCTTGCAGACAACTAACTGCTATTCAATCTATTACAGTGAAATAATTTTTTTTTTAAATGCAAGCTATTGTGACACCAGTGAGTGAGTGGTGGCACAGGGCAAGTGGGCACAGTATCCACTGTGAGCCTGACACACAGGCTGGCAGGCAGGCAACTGCAATTACATTACAGAAAAAAAAAACCGGCTGATGTTCTAGCCCTAAAAAGGGCTTTCTGGGGTGCTGTCCTTACAGCAGAGATCAGATGAGTCCTTCAGGACTGTAGTGGACACTGTATACACTAACCTAGCTATCCATTTCCCTATCAAATCAACAGCAGCTACACTTTCCCTCCTCTCACTAAGCATGCAGCTTATGAATCTAAAATGGATGCTGTCCAGTAGGTCGGAGGGTCTGCTAGGGAGGGTGTGCTGCTAATTGGCTGGAATGTGTCTGCTGACTGTGAGGTACAGGGTCAAAGTTTACTCAATGATGATGAATAGGGGGCGGATCGAACCGCGCATATGTTCGCCCGCCGTGGCGAACGCGAACACACTATGTTCGCCAGGAACTATTCACCAGCGAACCGTTCGGTACATCACAAGTTAAATACAGTGCTAGCAAATTAAATTCCCTGGACTTTTGGCCTGGGTTGTCAGGCAGGTCCTGCAAATTGTAATTAATAAAATGACCTAATTATGTAAAACTATTATATAAATATATATATATATATATATATATAATATAGTGTTTGTGTGTGTATATATATATATATATATATATATATATATATATATATATATAATATAGTGTTTGTGTGTGTATATATATATATATATATATATATATAATCTGACCTCCGACACTCACCATCATTAAAAAATATAACTTGTAATACCTGGGTGCTTCCAGCACCAAACATAAAGCAAATAGTGAATGGAGCACTCCTTAGGAAATTTTCAATCATGTATTTAATACACAATTGAAAACTTCCTAAGGAGTGCTCTGTTCACCATTTGCTTTATGTGTATATATATATATATATATATATATATGTTTTGTAATTATTTATATATATATATTGATATTTTTTGTTCGTTCGTGTGTGTGTGTGTGTGTGTGTGTATATATATATATATATATATATAAAAATTATTAAAGAAAAGAGGAGTCAGAAGTTGTAATCCAATATTTTTTTAATTAGAAAAGCAAGTGGGAGAAGCAACAAAGCAGAGGCAGCCCAGGTTGTTAAGAGCAGTCCTGGGAGGATATAGTGCAGAGGAGAATGAACCAATGTATATTCAGGGGAAGGATAGGGAAAACCAGGAGGAAATTGAGAATGTAACAATCTACGATGAACAGCGTCAGTTGTGTTCACATTGTGGATGATAATGAGAAATAAACATCTGAGTGCATTCTTCCCACAGATATCTATTCATCATCATCACTTCTGGGAAGACCCTGCGCACGTCATTCACGAACTAGGCTATCTACATCAGCGATGGTTATGCCCAAATTACGGGCAGCTTGCGCTCGCATTAGAATGCACTTTTCCTCCCTCATTTTCATAAAGCGCTGCATATTTTGCTGCAAGGAATCCATTGCTAATGTAAATTGCCTAACGCCCTCATTCAAAATGTTCGACATGGAGCGTACCTCGGTTATTACATTCTGCAATAGTTCTCGCTGATTCTCCCTATCCTGCTGTATGGACGTCTCCAGTTCAGCTTGACAAGCCTGGATCGTCGCATACAGCACAGCCAACGGTGGAGGAAGTTGTGGCAACGGCATTTCTTCGGTCAATGATATCACTGAATCAGGATCCACTGCTGTTAGGGTAATGGTACCCTCCTCTTGCAGGGGGAGAGTACCATCAGAACCTATAGGGGAGAACAGAGAAAGAACTTTGTTAGCATGTGTCGTATGTTGCAATGCTTACTATTATCTGTACAACAATTGGAAATAAAATATATGCAGTCATGTTATTAATTTATTATTATGTCTAAGTATAGTTATGCATCTTTGTCCCACCTAGCCCTTTCTCTTTGTGACCTCTCAATGCATGTCTTTGTGCCCACCTCCCTTACCTTCTAATCTCACTACATGTATCATGGCCGAGCGTCCCCAGGTAGAGAATCTCCTGTTTCTTCTGCATGACAGGAAGGTGATCATTGCACTCAGCTTCCTGTCAGGCCAAGTAGATGGTAGATAAGATTACATGTGGTCCACTCAGCCACAGTACATAAAGTGAACAGAAGGAGAGGAGCGATGTGAACTCCCCCCCACCCCTGCTGGTCACCCAGACATTGAGCCCTCTGGCCAGTGCATGCTAGGCAGACGCTTAGTATGCTTAGCGGTCGACCCGGTCCTGCCTGTTACATAAACTAGTATGCCTGCAAAGAAAATGTGTACAGTTAAAGCATTTTTTACTTACGCTCAGCATTGGATCCTGGACACCAGTGGCCAGCTGTTGGAGGGAAACCACACTCATCCGTGGTGAAGGAAGGTCGACAAGTTGCGGATGGTCTGAAATACATGTATGTGATAAATTAACTTCATATACAGTAAAATCACATACGTGTGTATGTTTAAATGCGCACGCACACACACACATAACATTTATCTAACAATGCTATGCAAGTACTTACGAGAGGAAAGTGAAGCCAGGCGCATTTCCAGGGAGACAGAAGGTGAACCTGCTGCCCTGCTCTCCATGGAGACAGCATCTCCTGCAGTTCCTGGTGCCTCTTCTGGGGATTGAGGGGCTTGCACTGATGGCATAGAAAGCACACACTGGAAGGTTAACACAAGCAAACTGATATATGTAAATTTCGACTAACAAATAGGACCACTATAGGCACCCAGACCACTTCAGCTCAATTAAGTGGTCTAGGTGCCAGGTCCCTCTAGTTTAAAGCCTGCAGCTGAAAACATAGCAGTTCTAGATAAACTGCTGTTTCACTGAGGGTTAATCCAGCCTCTAGCCACTTCAGAAGGCGTATTTTCTTCTGTTTAAGCCATTCTGTTGTTGATTTACTTCTATGCTTTGGGTCATTGCCCTGTTACAACACCCATCTTCTGTTGAGTTTCAGCTGGTAGACTGATGGCCTTACGTTCTCCTGCAAAATGTCTTGATAAACTGGGGAATTCATTTTTCCTTCGACGATAGCAATCCGTCCAGGCCCTGACGCAGCAAAGCAGCCCGAAACCATGATGCCTCCACCACCATACTTCACAGTTGGGATGAGGTTTTGATGTTGGTGTGCTGTGCCTTTTTGTCGCCACACATCTTCCAAAGAACTCAACTTTGGTTTCATCTGTCCACAGAATATTTTGCCAGTACTGCTGTGGAGCATCCAGGTGCTCTTGTGCAAACTGTAAATGTGCAGCAATGTTTTGTTTGGACAGCAGTGGCTTCCTCTGTGGTATCCTCCCATGAAATCCATTCTTGTTTAGTGTTTTACGTATTGTAGATTCGCTAACAGGGATGTTAGCATTTGCCAGTGACTTTTGTAAGTCTTTAGCTGACACTCTAGGATTCTTCTTCACCTCATTGAGCAGTCTGCGCTGTGCTCTTGCAGTCATCTTTACAGGACGGCCACTCCTAGGGAGAGTAGCAGCAGTGCTGAACTTTCTCCATTTATAGACAATTTGTCTTACCATGGACTGATGAACAGCAAGGCTTTTGGAGATACTTTTATAACCCTTTCCAGCTTTATGCAAGTCAACAATTCTTAATCGTAGGTCTTCTGAGAGCTCTTTTGTGCGAGGCATCATTCACATCAGGCAATGCTTCTTGTGAAAAGCAAACCCAGAACTGGTGTGTGTTTTTTATAGGGCAGGGCAGCTGTAACCAACACCTCCAATCTCATCTCATTGATTGGACTCCAGTTGGCTGACATCTCACTCCAATTAGCTCTTGGAGATGTCATTAGTCTAAGGGTTCACATACTTTTTCCACCTGCACTGTGAATGTTTACATGATGTGTTCAATAAAAACATGACAACATTTCATTCTTTGTGTGTTATTAGTTTAAGCAGACTGTGATTGTCTATTGTTGTGACTTAGATGATGATCAGATCACATTTTATGACCAATTTGTGCAGAAATCCATATAATTCCAAAGGGTTCACATACTTTTTCTTGCAACTGTATATACAAAATAGCACATGTAGTCATCCAGACATGCACAAGTGCATTCACACAGACTCAAATACAAACATGCATTGATACACAGGTCTTTACAATATACAAATCCAAAGGAATGCCATATTATATGAGAGTTATATTTAATGCACATATATTTGGCCTTCAAAGGGCCTGGAATCTAATTTTGCCCGGGGCCCCCAAAGGCTCTCAGTCCGCCCCTGGACCCTGTACACATTGTGGTTTTACAACTCTATTCCCCTCCCTCCCCCACACACCCTAAGGTCGACCCAGCTCTTATAACATCTGTGACAATCCACTATAGTTTTATCCTAAATGAATCTTGCAAAAACAAAATACTGTGAGAACCCATAGACCATGTATATTATGGTGTAATAAATGTTTATCCGGTACAGAGCAAATCTTACCATAACTTTATTTATTTTATTGCTATTTATTTACCATATTATTTTTTTCTACTTAATTTATTTGTCTTTTTGTTTTTTCATTGTATTGTGCATTATTGTAAACCCTATTTTTTTTTTACTTTTACTTTTTCTTTATTAATTTTTCATTACATGAACATAAAACACTAAACAAGTAGTTTAGACATATAGTGGTACATAACATCCAAAAATTTAAATGTTATATTCATAGTTATCATATCTAGCATATTTTCAACATATAAACAGTATTTACATAGCTTATTATATGTGAAGATGGTTCCATTTACTCCAAAAAGAATACTTCCTTTATCAACAGGTAGTAGGGCAAATTTAATATGTGCATATTATAATAAAAATAGAAGAGAAAAAAAGAAAAGAAAAGAAAAACCCTCAATTTGTTTGATTTCTGAGATGTACAAAACACCCCTTTCCATTAGCCTATAGTATCATATTTAATTTATTACTATTTCAATTTAAATTTCATCTTTTTCTTGCTCTTTTCACAATTAAAAGACATTATATAATTAGTATTTTGTTGTTATGTTGAAAATATCTAAGTTTATATTTAATCTTTCATTCTTAATTGTAGAATGAGGAATAGTATTTGAAAGGTTACATGAGGCTCGAATGTCTTTCTGATTGCAAACCCAAATGTAACCCCTTCACAACGCTAGACGGAAATTTTCCGTCATGCTTGTCCTACAGTTAAGGACGCAAGACGGAAAATTTCCGTCATTTACTAAAGTTAACCCCAGATCGCGGTATTCTAACACTCGATCGCGCTGTCCCTGCGACTGTCATTGCTCTGACAGCCTGTGTGCTGCAGGGACTTCTGATCCGCCTCCCTGCGCTTCCGCGGTCAGTGTAAAGTGCAGGGAGACGGATCAGTGCTGATCTGCTTCCCCTGTCCAAAAAATAAATAATAATGTTAACGTTAAATCCCACCCCCCCTCTCCCTGCTTTAATAAAATTAACCCCTTCTCTGCCAGTTGATCACTGACTACAGTGATCAATTGGCAGAGACTACATTTTACTGTGATCTGATTTTTTTTTAACCCCTCAGGGATTCAATTTATTTAATTAATTAATTAATTTAAATATTTTTCAATATTTTTCAATTATATATTTTGCTAGCTGGGGTGGGTGGAAGTTATGGGAAATTGGGGAATTTACTGTTAGTGATGCTTACTGCTAGTTAGAGGTTAACTGTAAAAAAAGTTTATAAAAATTTTAAAATGTAAAAAAAGTTTTAAGAAAGTTTTAAAAAGTTAAAAAAAATTAAATAAGTTAAAACAAAGTTTAAAAACAAGTTTTAAAAATTAAAAAAAGTTTAAAAGAGTAAAAAAAAAAACTTAAAAAAAAATGCTCATTACCACTACACCTGGAACAAACTAAAAAATGATCCCACGCTAAGGTTCAACATATGCCTTTTGAAATACCCCAGGGTGTATTCTTTTAAAAATAGTATGCGTTTGTGGAGTACTTTGAATACCAAACCAGCTAACCTACTCTAAAATGGAACTTCAAAGTTAGAAAAAAACTGAATGGCTGCGTCTCAACATCTACATATACCTGGCAAAGACAGTATTGTTGTACTCAGACAACATAGCTGAGCAACATATGAAATATTATACAGCCGTAACACATACGATTTTCTAAATATTCCAATGGCCATTGGAGGGAATGCCCTCCTGCCATGTCAAGGCAAACCTCTTAGGTGGGTCCTACACTAACCTTTCACCTTGCTTCCTTGAGCTTCTGGCATAGATATCTCTAATGAGGCAGAGAGTGGTATTTTTTATATACACCCCTACATACTTTATAACCCTTAACACGGAACACATGGGATGGGCGGCAGCATTGTAACATAGATGTTAGCTGTGTGGTGAATACAAAAAAGTGAATACAAATACAGAAAAACAAGTCCTGCACTCAAACTCTGATCACTCTTGGGCGGCAGAAACGGCCATAGTACACATCAGCCTCAATACAGTAAAAACCAAAGAAAAAAATGATTTTTTTTCTCCTCACCACAAACATTGGCATAAATGGTGAAAAAAATGGTGACAAGTTAAGGCAGAATATATGCCATATAAGATACTCTGGGGTGTCTGCTTTATCAAATGGAAGCTCTTTGAAGGGTTATTTAAACAGTCAAACTGCTATAATACCCCAAAAATTAGACAGTGGCCCTGTCACGGGTGGCGGTCCGAAGACCGGGACCCCTGAGTGCCTGATGATGAAGATAGGAGTCTCAGTGTGGAAGTGGACAATCAGGGTCTGGTGCAGGGTAACCACACGCCTCCTGGTGTTTAGCACCATGGTTTGTGCGGTCACATACCAGAGCCCTGATGCAGCTTAGCGGAAGCCAGGAGCTAAATGATATGCTGATATATATCCAGTACTAGAAACAAGGTAAGACTAGAACAGGCACCAAACAACAAGACAAGACAAGACTAGATGAACCCAGAACCGGAGCAGGACAGAAAGCATCCGCCTAGATATGCATGACTAAACAATAAAACACACAAAGTACTTACCTGCAAAGAAAGGAGCAGAGATAATGAGACCACTGCTTGCAGGAACAGACTGAAACAAAAAGGATTAATGGAAAAGGAATGGGTGTGGCAACAAAAACCAAACATTTAAAGGAATCCAGTAGTCTGGGAATTCCAGGAACGAAATAAAGGAATGAACCCAGAAAGCCCAGAAAGAAAACCAGACATAGAATAGAAAACCAGAAAAAAACAAGAAAAACTAAACAGGAATTGTAAAAAGAGTACTGGATATCAGAAGCCAAGGCCAAAAATATCCGCAGAATGGAACAGGATGTGACAGGCCCATCAAATCGATCTATGAAAATTCTAACTAAAAAACTGAAATAGCCTTGTCTCTTATGTGGCATTGTAGCTTCACAGAATAGTGCCAAAGGCATACAATGGGGGTATCGTTATACTCAGCAGATGTAGATGAACACAATTCTGTGCAGGAATAGCACACACCAGCTTTATGAAATACACATTACAAAAACCTTGTTATATGTGTATATGTAAAAATAGAGAAAAAACACAATTTGCTCCAATATTTAGCAGAAATTGGCGATGAAACGTCTACGTAAAAAGTGTCAGAATAACCTTAGGTAAATAGCCTGTGATGTCTACTTTATATAAATATATACTT